GATTTTCGATATATTTTCCTTTTTTATAGAAAATTTTCGATAAGCTTTTCTTTTTTTATAGAAAATTTTCGATAAACTTTCCTTTTTTATAGAAAATTTTCGATAAATTTTCCTTTTTTATAGAAAATTTCGATATAAACTTTTTTTTATAGAAATTTTCGATAAATTTTCTTTTTTTATAGAAAATGTTCCATAAATTGTCTTTTTTTTATAGAAAATGTTCCATAAATTGTCTTTTTTATAGAAAAATTTCTATAAATTTTCTTTTTTTATTGAAAATTTTCCATAAATTTTCTTTTTTTTATAGAAAATTTTCCATAAATTTTCTTTTCTTATAGAAAATTTTCCATAAATTTTCTTTTCTTATAGAAAATATTGCATAAATTTTCTTTTCTTATAGAAAATTTTCCATAAATTTTCTTTTCTTATAGAAAATTTTCCATAAATTTTCGTTTTTTATAGAAAATTTTCAATAAATTTTCTTTTTTTTTTAGAAAATTTTCAATAAATTTTCGAAAAATGTTCCTTTTTTATAGAAAATTTTCTATAAATTTTCTTTTTTTACGAAAAATTTTCCATACATTTTCTTTTTTATAGAAAATTTTCCATACATTTTCTTTTTTTGTACAAAATTTTCCATAAATTTTCTTTTTTTATACAAATATTTCCATAAATTTTCTTTTGTTATACAAAATTTTCCATAAATTTTCTTTTTTTATAGAAAATTTTCCATAAATTTTCTTTTTTTATAGAAATTTTTCTATAAATTTTCTTTTTTATAAAAAATGTTCAATAAATTTTTTTTTTTTATAGAAAATTTTCAATAATTTTTCTTTTTTTATAGAAAATTTTCAATAAATTTTCTTTTTTCATAGAAAATTGTTGATAAATTTTCTTTTTTTATAGAAAATTTTCGATAAATTTCGTCTTTTTATAGAAAATTTACAATAATTTTTCTTCTTATAGAAAATTTCCAAAAAATTTTTCATTGAACATTTTTTTTATAAATTTAATTTACAAATAAAATTTAATTATTTTATCAACTTACGTGAACTATCATACTGTATGCCCTGGAATTCATCTAAACACGGCAGAGCTGCTAGAGTGGCACGGGGTGTACGTGGCCAACAAAGGATTGAATCGAATTGTGTAAGACAATATTCACTATTGTTGCCAAAGGTCATTGTATCCATATGCTCCTGCATAAGACACTGAAGTTCTGAACTTTGATTGATTTCATCTAAATCGTCCAAGGATAAATGTGTTGTGGCCGTTGTTAAGGTTAAATCGTTCTCTTCACCATCCACCAACATCAAATCTGGCGGGTGTAAATTGTGTTGGCTGGCCGTCGAGGAGGTTATGGAAGTATTTTCATTCATTTTTTTTTTTTTTTTAATTTTTTTAGTTTCTATTTAGTTTTTTCTATTCTAGTTTTGGTAAATCTGTTGCTGGAAGAGTTGTTGTGAGTTTCTCTGTTGTTTGGTTTGTTTTCCAGTTTGTTTGAGTATCAAAATAAATGCTTTTACAATAAATTTATTTTGTTTGTTGTTGTTGTTGCTGGTGGTATATATTGTGGGATTCATTGGGTACAATAGATTTAGTATCTACTAGTCGTTGTAGTTGTAAATGTTGTTGTTGCTGGTTCTGCTGTTGATATCTGTTGTATTGTTTGTTCATCTTTTGATTTTTTTGGTTGCTCATTGTTATTGTTGCTGTTATTGTTGGTAGTGTTATTGTTGTTGCTATTGCTGTTGAAACGTTTAAATAGCTTCGTTTTTTATTCTGGGTTTCAAATGATCTGTAAATAAATTGTTATAAATGGTTTCTATTAGTTTTTTATGTTTGCGGTTTTACTTAAAGTTTCTTAAATTAGGGAAATGTTTATTTAAGGATGAGAGCAACAATAGGGATTTTTTTTACTAAATTTTGGTTACTTTTATAAAATTTGTTGTAGGAAATTTGTGAAAAATTTTCTGAATATATTCTTCGGTAAATAGATAGATAGATAGATAGATAGATAGATAGATAGATAGATAGATAGATAGATAGATAGATAGATAGATAGATAGATAGATAGATAGATAGATAGATAGATAGATAGATAGATAGATAGATAGATAGATAGATAGATAGATAGATAGATAGATAGATAGATAGATAGATAGATAGATAGATAGATAGATAGATAGATAGATAGATAGATAGATAGATAGATAGATAGATAGATAGATAGATAGATAGATAGATAGATAGATAGATAGATAGATAGATAGATAGATAGATAGATAGATAGATAGATAGATAGATAGATAGATAGATAGATAGATAGATAGATAGATAGATAGATAGATAGATAGATAGATAGATAGATAGATAGATAGATAGATAGATAGATAGATAGATAGATAGATAGATAGATAGATAGATAGATAGATAGATAGATAGATAGATAGATAGATAGATAGATAGATAGATAGATAGATAGATAGATAGATAGATAGATAGATAGATAGATAGATAGATAGATAGATAGATAGATAGATAGATAGATAGATAGATAGATAGATAGATAGATAGATAGATAGATAGATAGATAGATAGATAGATAGATAGATAGATAGATAGATAGATAGATAGATAGATAGATAGATAGATAGATAGATAGATAGATAGATAGATAGATAGATAGATAGATAGATAGATAGATAGATAGATAGATAGATAGATAGATAGATAGATAGATAGATAGATAGATAGATAGATAGATAGATAGATAGATAGATAGATAGATAGATAGATAGATAGATAGATAGATAGATAGATAGATAGATAGATAGATAGATAGATAGATAGATAGATAGATAGATAGATAGATAGATAGATAGATAGATAGATAGATAGATAGATAGATAGTAGATAGATAGATAGATAGATAGATAGATAGATAGATAGATAGATAGATAGATAGATAGATAGATAGATAGATAGATAGATAGATAGATAGATAGATAGATAGATAGATAGATAGATAGATAGATAGATAGATAGATAGATAGATAGATAGATAGATAGATAGATAGATAGATAGATAGATAGATAGATAGATAGATAGATAGATAGATAGATAGATAGATAGATAGATAGATAGATAGATAGATAGATAGATAGATAGATAGATAGATAGATAGATAGATAGATAGATAGATAGATAGATAGATAGATAGATAGATAGATAGATAGATAGATAGATAGATAGATAGATAGATAGATAGATAGATAGATAGATAGATAGATAGATAGATAGATAGATAGATAGATAGATAGATAGATAGATAGATAGATAGATAGATAGATAGATAGATAGATAGATAGATAGATAGATAGATAGATAGATAGATAGATAGATAGATAGATAGATAGATAGATAGATAGATAGATAGATAGATAGATAGATAGATAGATAGATAGATAGATAGATAGATAGATAGATAGATAGATAGATAGATAGATAGATAGATAGATAGATAGATAGATAGATAGATAGATAGAGTTCTATATTTTAGAATATTTTCAATAAATTTAGAATCTCTCCCTTAAATTGTCTATTCAAAGAAATTTTTTGTTAAATTTTCAATTTAAAAAAATCATTTGGTTTTCTATTTCTAGGAAATTTACATTTTATTTTCTTTTTCTGAAAAATTTACGTTTAAATTTCTATTTTTAGAAAAATACAAATTTTTTCAGTAAATCTTGTGCAATTGGGTTCACCTTGATAATAGACCCTAAGCATACCCAGGCTTATATTTATATTCATACAATATCTATAAAAAAGTATTTCTATTTCTTTCCAAAACAATATAAAAACTTAATAAATTGTTATAGTCATATGTATTTGTTTTTTTTTTTTTTTTTTTTGTCTCTATTAGAATAAAAGAAAAATATTTCGTATTTGAATTGTCATCCTTTTGAGTTGAAATATGTGGGTGTTTGAATGATAAATGTTGTCGGGAGGGCAAAAAACTAGAACTAAACAAGTGTTTTTAAAGTGTTATCGATATTTGAATTTCTATAGTTTACATGTTGTTTGGTTTTATCTACAATAAATACTTACAACTATCTATATTATTTATATTCAATATAAGTACATATTGACATATTTCTATGAAATAGTTTTATACTCTACACCTTTAAAAAAGGGAAGAATATAAGACGTTGATGCTGATATTCTATAATTTATTATCTCTTCCCTAAAATGTCTGTCTATCAGCTATTTAAAATCATAAAATTTATTTCTCTTTAGTTTAGGAAAAGCAACATATTTTTAATCTCTAGTGATTTTAAAACGTTACAAACTATTAGAAATAAATTTTTATTTCCACTTAATACCACTTAAACCGTTTTTCTTCTATTTAGCTTTACTTATACCCTCTCAAAGTGTATTTTCTCATATTTGTAAAAAATCAAAATCAATTGTTCCCTTTTTACTCCACTTCTCTTCAAATACATATTTTCTGCTTGATTGCATTATAAACAGCAGCACTCGTACTTTGATTTGCTATTAATTTAAGAAACATAAAATCTTAATGGATTTAAACTTCTTCTCTACCATTTATTTCGTTATAATTAATATACCCTTAAAGAAAATGTCCTCGCTATAATTCTATACTAACGCTAATGGAATTGTATTGTAGATACACAAAAAGGATAAAAGTATTAATGTAAGAAAATAATAAAAAAATTAAATTCTTTTCGCTTTTTTTTTTTTTGGTCACTTAAGATATTTTCTTATTTAATCCAATAGCAGCAACTTGTGGAATTTTCACTACGGACCAAAGTAAAAAAAGAAATTAAGAAAATACAGCATCTATTTAAAGAGTACTTTAACATGCAGGGTCCTAAGTGAATGAGAATCTATAAGAAGAATCTGTTTGGTAACTTTGCTATGCTACTACACACGCCCCCAGTGGACCAGAAGGTAAATAATGTAGCATGTGTTGTTAGTAGTAAGTATGTGTTTGACTCATACACACTAACGTTTCTCTTTAGAAATTGTCGAGAGCCAAAAGTAAAGCACATACATATGTATGTATGTACATCAGCAAGTACTTATACATAAGTAATATCAAATCTTTTATTTACACGGTATTTTCTTCTTTTCTGATTTTGCTTTTAATATTTTCCAGTTACCACTAGATATTGCATGAAATCCTCTCTAACAGTGCATTAATTGAAAAAATATATATTATTTTCATATGCCTGCATACGTACTTAGATGCATTTAGGATGTCAGATTGTATGTATTTTTTCTAATGCAACCAACACAACACTTAGAGGCATAATAGTAACAGTAGGGTTCCCATTTGCCCAAACTTTTTCTGTCCTTACAGTCTGGAAGACATGCCAAACTAAAAACTAGACTATAGTTCGTATAAGACTATAGATAATACTAAATATAGACAACACAACAGTCTGGACTATAGACAATACTATAGTCTGGACTATAGACAAGTCCATAGTCTGGACTATAGACAAGACTATAGTCTGGACTATAGACAAGACTATAGTCTGAACTATAGACAAGTCTATAGTCTGAACTATAGACAAATCTATAGTCTGGACTATAGACAAATCTATAGTCTGGACTATAGACAAGTCTATAGTCTGGACTATAGACAAGTCCATAGTCTGGACTATAGACAAGTCTATAGTCTGGACTATATACAAGTCTATAGTCTGGACTATAGACAAGTCTATAGTCTGGACTATACACAAGTCTATAGTCTGGACTATAGACAAGACTATAGTCTGTACTATAGACAAGACTATAGTAGACACGGCTATAGTCTGGATTATAGACAAGTCTATAGTCTGGACTATAGACAAGACTATAGTCTGGACTATAGACAAGACTATAGTCTGGACTATTGACAAGACTATAGTCTGGACTATTGACAAGACTATAGTCTGGACTACAGACAAGACTATAGTCTGGACTATAGACAAGACTATAGTCTGGACTATAGACAAGACTATAGTCTGGACTATAGACAAGACTATAGTCTGGACTATAGACAAGACTATAGTCTGGACTATAGACAAGACTATAGTCTGGACTATAGACAAGACTATAGTCTGGACTATTGACAAGACTATAGTCTGGACTATTGACAAGACTATAGTCTGGACTACAGACAAGACTATAGTCTGGACTACAGACAAGACTATAGTCTGGACTATAGACAAGACTATAGTCTGGACTATAGACAAGACTATAGTCTGGACTATTGACAAGACTATAGTCTGCACTATAGACAAGACTATAGTCTGGACTATAGACAAGACTATAGTCTGGACTATAGACAAGACTATAGTCTGGACTATTGACAAGACTATAGTCTGGACTATTGACAAGACTATAGTCTGAACTACAGACAAGACTATAGTCTGGACTACAGACAAGACTATAGTCTGGACTATAGACAAGACTATAGTCTGGACTATAGACAAGACTATAGTCTGGACTATTGACAAGACTATAGTCTGGACTATAGACAAGACTATAGTCTGGACTATAGACAAGACTATAGTCTGGACTATAGACAAGACTATAGTCTGGACTATAGACAAGACTATAGTCTGGACTATAGACAAGACTATAGTCTGGACTATAGACAAGACTATAGTCTGGACTATAGACAAGACTATAGTCTGGACTATAGACAAGACTATAGTCTGGACTATTAGACAAGACTATAGTCTGGACTATAGACAGGGCTATAGTCTGAACTATAGACAGGG